ATGTATGTATGTATGTATTTGTATAAGTATGTGTATGTACGTAAGTATGGCTAAGTATGTGTAAGTATGTCATGTATGTCTGTACGTATGCATGATGTACGTGCGGATGGATGGGTGGATGGATGCATGGATGTATTTGTGAAGGTAGGTAGGTAGGTAGGTAGGTAGGTAGGTAGGTAGGTAGGCAGGTAGGTAGGTAGGTAGCTAGCTAGCTAGCTAGCCGCCGGCTAGGTAGGTAGGGAGGTAGGGAGGTAGGCAAGGCAGGCAAGCAGGCAGGTAGGTAGGTAAGTAGATAGGTAGGCATGTATGTAAGTACGCATACGCAGATGCGCTCGAAAAGGCTATGTGTGTTATGTCTACATATATATATATATATGTAGCTATATACACATATACCAATACGATGCTTGCAATTTGTAGCACCAACACGAATGGCATCATTATTGTTATCACTAATTACTGCCATCTTCTTCGTTTACTCTTTTCACTCTCACTTTCTTTCTTTCTGCCGGGCGTGGGGGTCCGCGGGAGACCCTCAGGCCCTCGGCCCGCCCGACCACTCTTTCTGCTACTGAGTGGCCGGCTTTGGGGTCATCTATGACCCACTCTCACTCTCTCTCTCTCTCTCTCTCTCTCTCTCGCTCGCTATAACATCTATATATATATATATATAATATGTGTGTGTATGTACGTTGTACGTATGTATACACATAATATATATATATATATGTATACATATATACATATGTGTGTGTGTACATGTAACACATGTATGTGTATATATATATATATGTGTGTGTGTGTGTGTATATATATATATATACATATATACATATACATATATATATATATATTTATATTTATATATTTTTCATTTATTTAACATAGTCATGTACTTAAGGGTATGCGGAACATCGAAGATATCGAAGAGTCACGTAGCTCCCGATTCGCCACTCCGTGAGTGTTTCGGTAGGCGATCAGTTTGAATTGGTAGGTGAATGCTCTGCCATGCGCATACATGCTCCCCAGCTCCCCGCAGCTACGTCTGCAGATCTACCAAGTAATTCTAATCAAGAACTCAGAGCATGTCCCTAAACCCTCAGGCTCCAGGAAGGCACTGCCCGTCGGTTCTCCAGAAGCCGAGACACACCTGGGCTCCTAAAGCCGCTGTGAGGCGTCCCACAGCCCCTGGCAAACCGCCCAGCTCCTCACAGTGTTCGACACGGTTTATGTTACATTATACAACTACGAAAGAATCATGTATGTCAGACGCACTAGAAAATCAACTAGCGTTACAGGGCCATACTTGGTGGATGGTGGGGTGATTCTTGCAAGATCCGGCCCCAGGAAATGCAAGTCTTTCTTGCATCGGTGGCTCGACTCAGGGTAACCTGGCAAGTTGGTATTGCAGAGCGGGAAGCATTTCAAGCTTTGTTCCTCGCAAGTTTGTCCGGCACAGAACAATGTCGCAAACCAGAGCACTCCCGGAACATGCAAGCCGAAGTAAGTAATTTTGGTTTCTGGAGTTACTTTGCATTATTACCGCGGTGGACACGCTGAGGTCAAGAAAGCCTCGGAGGGCTCCTTTGGCTGGTACGTGTGGGAGTTGCCGACAAACAGCATCCCTGCAAGACAAAGGCAGCAACTGCTTGCCAGGATCCAGCCACGTCTTCGGAATGTCTACCTCCTTACGAGCATCTGTATGTAGAGATTTGTAGTCTGGTTTAGAAACCTACCTACACATATTATAAACATCTGAGAAAAACATACATGCATTGCCAGTGCAGAAAGCTAGACATGCACATATATACACTGCTATGTTCAGATAACTCTATCACTCGCTGTCTTTGTTCTCTCCTTGTCGTACGTATGGGCCAGCTGTCCGTCCATCCATATCAATCTCTACCTCATTCTCAGCTACTGCCTCACACACTGAACCTGCACACCATGAAGTTTGTGACCTATAGTCCAAATGCGTACATGAATGTGTACACCTGCACGTGTGCGTGTATGCATGGATGGATGGATGCATGAATTTCCGTGTGGTTTGTACGATGTGTGTATGTGTCTACAGGCCTCGAGCCGCTTTCTCGGCACGACCCTCGCCGGCAGCGCGCCAGCGGCCGTTCTCAGACGCCATGGAAGTTCTAAAACAAAGCCTTTTATTATATAGTCGATGATGAGAAAGCTTCTTTACTGGGAGTCTTTGCTTTCACACGGACGGCATGGGCGTTTGGTGTGTATAGAGCGCTATGTTCTGCTCGCTTGCAGGGATCGTCTTTTTGCGTTCTTCAGTCTCATGACCTGCATATACCTGCATAGATGAGAGATCAGCCCCTTTGAGTGCCTTACACGGTCTGCACAGGTTGCGGTGCTGACAAATAACCACGTCGTCAGGTAGGCTGAGTTAATGTGTGCCTACACTGGAAGGTCAATGCTAATAATACTGATGTATGATATATGTCCAGATAGCCGCGACGAAGACTTACGAGCGAGACACGACTAACTGGTGCAGCTCTTGATGTTAGACTGGTGCGTAGCAAACAGTGCCCCTGGTCTGCAAAGACGTTTCCGTAACCACCGATAAGCTTTTCGTCCCAACAAGCTACGGCTGATGCTGATGATGCGCCGAGAAGCGAAACCTTTTAATTGCATATTCCGAGAATCCCTGGCAGAAACCGTAGGAATGCCGAGCTATCTATCCCTCCGTATTCCCCACATGAAATCGCCAAGAGATGAACAAGACTGAAAGGCATCAAATTCCTGTTTTGCACCGGAGGCCCTGCGTAGCCCTTTCGACTGGCTTGGAAAACGCTCGTCCATTTGACGAGCTTTGTGCTGCGGGCTTGCAAGGTCTTAGGTAAGGGACTCCGCGGATCGGAATTTAAAATGTTGCCTCAAGGGAAGGAGATCATTCGCCACGAGTCTTGGACACCGCCTGCTTCCATTGGCCAAGAGATGGCCTCCAAGCAGAAATGCTGGAAGCTGCTTGCAGGTGGGCTGTATCGCGGCATCAGGACCGTAACTTCTTCTTCGTCACACTGCCCGAAGGATTTGAGGACTTGATTCAATCTAGGTGCCTCTTAAAGCATCCGCACAAGCCCAGCGTGCCGTCCATACTAAACAACGACGGATAACTAAAGGGAGCACACTAAGCACGACCATGAAAGGTCGAGTCTAACATGCATGTAGTCAGGTACACGTGTCTGCGCACATGCAGACACAAACGCACGCAAGTGTGTGATGTGTCCTCCCAAGCGCTTGCGGATGGGGGTGCATATAAGAATACCTGCATGCTTGCAGGCTTAGCTTGCGCAGAGCGTGCGTAAATGTGTTGCTGCGCATGCTCCTGCATGTATGTACATATGCTCATGTCGACGTACGGGAGGGATGCCAGGGCAGTTCATGCCGGATGTATGTTGGGAGGCTGATATGTAAAGAAAGAAATGCACATACTCAGAGACTTGCAGAAGTGCAAAGAAAATGAAAAAGAAAGGGAGATACAGCGAGCAAGAGAAAGAGAGACGGAGCCAGGGAGAGAAAAAAAACGGCTGCATAACTGAAAGTCCGAGTCAGCCCCATCGAAAACTACCAGAATGGTTAAGTGAACCCAAGCTGGTCCAATGCCGCCTCGTCCCGGCAGGAAGTGGTAGCTGGGACGCTGTGAAGACCCAGTGCCTGGCCACAAAATGATAATTGTTAATGCCATGCTGCTTAAGCACAAGACAGAGTGCTCAGCCGGTCAAATGCTCGTCGTTCAACATAGCATGAAGACACGGCAGGCACATGCACCACTCAGCAAACATATTCAATACAACTCGGCACTGCAGGTGGTATGCCGGCGTGGTCTTGAAACTCGCCGGCGATGCTTCCGAAGCGGGAACGACACTGCGAGGAAAATCGTGGCCTGCTTGGGGGAAGCGCACGCCCTGATTCATCGTTTCTGAACATGCACCTCCTTTAGACTGTAGCTCGCCTGTAGAAACTGTATGAAGCAGTGGAGCCAGAGTTGAAACCACTCAACCCCCTTGTGGAAGCCGCTTTACAGACGTCGATGAGGAGCCGAAACCGTGAATCTCTCAACAACGGAAGAGAGAAGCGCGACACCTGGCTGGCTGCCCGCAGTGCTGCCATCAGCCGTGGGTCCTTCCCGCAGCACACTATGCTGCGTGCATGACAGTAGTGTTGCAACAGAAGGAAGCTCACACAGCTGGTTCGCCTCAGCAAAAGCATTGTAGTGACTGTGACAACAAGGACAATCGTGCATCCTTCGAGGCTGCCCGAAAACAACACTTCCAGCGATTTGCACACTATGGCTGCTATGAGTTCCTGGCATGTCGAAAATCAAGGCTTGCTAACCAGCATATGAACAGCAAGAACGCGATAACTCGGAGCCAGTGATTGAAAAAACGTATCAATAAATGCGAGAATGAGCCCCACCATGCCTCCGGCGCAATGTCTGCTAAGGAGGCCAGGTACAACCTGGAACAACAACTGAGCCCAAGCTGGAGTGCAGGGCCTCACACAAGTAAAAGGCTTTGGACCTCAATTTACTAACCACCTAGTTGTCGAGTATTTTGGGGAACTAAAGGTTAATGTTTGGGAATATATTGCCCCTAAAAAGGTTTAAGCTAACCTACTCTACTACTAGGACCAGTGTCTACAGAGCTTTTGGGTTTCATCCACGGTCTCTGAGTGGTTGGGCTCTGCTCTGGTTAGACGTAGTTAGCATTTCAGCAGCATTGCTTACTACCTTTTAAGTGAAGGAGGTTCAAACACAAATTCCAACTTCAGCCACGGCTTTTGCAAGGACTTTAATTCCCAAATTTTCGCCAAGGAGTCCACGCATAGTATGGAGTGCTACGTCACTGCTTTTCTCCTGCCTCTGCGAGACGAGCACTCTGTGGGTGCAAATCATAAACCGAATCTTGTCGTCCACCAGCCTTACTTGGTCCCGGACCGGGCGGGCAGTAGGCACATGAAGAAGCCCTGTTGCACGCTGACAATGATGGCCTCTGCAAGGCAGGTGCCGTTGTTCCCCTCACCAGCCCCTGCACTCCCTGCTTGAACCAACATCCGGTCTTTCTTTTCGGAGCAGTTGCCTTCGGCATCTGGGTCTGCTAGGGATTCGTAGTCGCTCGTTCGTGGCTGAGTCGTGCTATGTGGCGGTGTAACAAAGACTGAGTTCCAAATCCATGCCTGCAACAACGAGGCTATCTTCTCTGTTCTGCATCGTTTCGAAGGGATGCCGTACGCAGAAGATGCACATTGACATCCCCTGCATACCTGACGCCACGGCACACTGTCGAAAGCCGAGGCCGCTTTCATGCTGATGCTGGGAGCCCGCAAAGCTTCTCGGCTTTGACACACACAACCTTTTGCCAGTCCACCGCAGTTGAAGAGGTGTTAACAAGTCTACTCATGTGCATGGCAACAAGCGACCTCGGTACGTCTGTTACAGCAACTGCTCAGACATCTGACTGAGTTGCTTCAGTCTTCTGCATATGCTGCGCAGAGTCAGACGGGTTACACCGAACACGGCACGAACAACACAACTGCTAATTGCTGTAGGCTTCAAGCACAGTTGCAGACTGGGGCCGCACCATGTCGCATCTGTCGCATGTGCATGTGCCACATGTCTGCCCATATCAGGTGATGGGGCTTGTTTGTCTCTGCAGGGATTCGCTGCATCAATGCCCGGGGCATGTAGAAGCAGATTGTCTCTTGATGTTTCCGAGAAAAGCCAAGTACAGTAACCGCTCAAACCAAGGAGGTCTTTCTCCCCAGGGCATTGGACTAAGATGACCCGAGTGCTGACTCACTGCATGCGGAAGGTGGGAACATGGCTTTCCGTTGGGAGCTTCTGCTGCCAGGGGTGGAGATAGGTGGTCCTTAACACCAGAATGGACACACATATGGGTTCCGGAGAAGGCAGCAGCATGAAACGGCATCCAGCGCTGCATTGAAGTCAATCAAGCCAACACAGAATGACAAACCACAAACAAAAAACACACACACACACACTCGTGCGTATATCACAGAGACTACTACACACCCGACATCATGCAACCGCATGGTTTCTGCGATCCAAACGAATCTACACGCGATTTTCCCAAGCGGGGCATTGCAAACTTGCTCTCTGCAGGCGGGAAGCAGGCTACAGTATTGACGTGCGCAGACTAAGACACGCAGGGTCAAACCGCAGGCATGCCCTCCCCCGTCAAGAGCCTCCGGGTGGGGCTCGCGCCCAACATGACTCCAAGAGTCCATCTCTTCGCCATGTAAGGTGCCCACATGGGAGTTCAATGCGACTCTGAGGAAATCGGACCACGAAACGCAGCACCCGCGCCATCCCTGAATCGAAGTCCCCAGCTGCACGGCCCGGAAGGCTCGGCCGAACCCTCCCCGAAGCCGAGCCCGAGGGTCGTATTGTCTGCGGCGCCCAGGAGGGACTCCTTCACCGGATACCTGGCTGCATGCAATCCGGAGTTCAAGGATCCATCTTTCAAAAGCTAGGACATGCTATGGACATATACCCGTGCATGTCATAAGGAATCCTGGAGGGGCTCACGGCCGCTGGGCCTCGCACTTGCCACTGCGCAGTTGTTTCCCCTCAACTGTGCTGCTGTCTAGCTTTGGAATAGGATGCATGCGGAATTATTGCTCCTTCGACGCCAGCGATTCCCCAGTGGCCCTAGTGGGATCTGGCTTGAGGCATGTTCTCCTATAGCCCATGTGCTCGGGCTTCTGAATGTCTGTGCCCGGCAACGTGTAGCCAGAGCTTTCCAAACCAAAGAGGCCAAGCTGCGCGCATTGTCGTGTTGCCTTGCCAGAAAAACTCACAGGCTTTTAAGGATGCTTGGAGTGCCATGGTTTGCTGGTTCAAACAGGGTCCTTGCTACCCCTGGCAACATACGAAGTCTCCCATGTTGGATGAGCCCTGGAGGAACTTGAAAGTTTGGACGACGCCCGGCCTGATAGGCACCCCGCCCAGTCGCAACTGCACCCCGGCCCAGGAAAGCAAAACAGTCCTGCGGCAAGTGGTAAAATTGAAATGGGGTTCTGTGGATTCAAAGGGTTTTCGGGCTTTAAGTTTTCGAAGATGGGGCGTTTCAGTGTGGTGACACTCATTGGATTCAGCACTCACACTCGCTGACTAGCAGAGGGTGCAGTCTTACTCTTACATTCACATCTTACAGCATATGCAGGGCCTCGAAGTTGATATCATTGCATACTCATCCTAAGGAACCCTGAGGGGCAACATCTGTAATTAGCACCCCGCGTTACGGGAGTTGCTCGACATTTGGGGTTCCCTGAAGTCACACCATCACGAGGGCGCATCGCCGGGCCTTCTGCAGTGTTGCACGACCGTGCTTGGCTCAAGAGGCTCTCATATCAGGGTATCCAGACTTGGACTATTACAGGCTTGGGATTCACGGAAACCTGCCGTTGAGGCTCTAATGAAATGGTTAAAATCGTTAAACTCCTTGAAGACCTCAGTAAAAGCCCTATTGACCAAGACTAAGACCCACCGAACCCTAAACCGGCCTTGCTAGGCGCCCGGTTTCTCAACGCAGGCCGTTACTAATTATTTCTGTCTGCTAGCACCAATGAAAGGAGTGAACAGCCCGGGCCTTGCAAAACTACCTCCCTGAGCAGTACTTATCAGCCGAGCAAGCCTCACGCAAGACTTCCAAGCCCAGACTCTTCCAAGTCATGCGGTGGAGCTAAGGAGGGCTGTTTAACTATGGGGTTTTACAGGAGTGTATGGGGTTCTGTAGGTTCCAAAGAACGTATCAAACAGGGACCATGTGGAGAACCGTCACCTCATTGCTAGTAACTATGAGCTTGCCTCTACATGTTCGTGGGGCGCTGCCGAATTGGGAGCTTCAGAAAATCAAGGGAGCTACTATAAACCCGACATAATAGCATCCTTACCAGAATCCTTACAAGTTCCCTAGACACGGTATCCCTCGCCGCAACATATAGACTTGACGCAAATCCCAATTCCGTTCAGTCCAGGCCAGACTCGGCGCACTTCCGACAAACACCTGCAGCAGAAATTTGCATTTTACTCTTTGTGGCAATCATGTATGGGCCTAGGGATCAAAGGATTCAGGTTCGTGCCGCACTTTATCGTATGGCAACGCGCTACACTCTGGTCTCATCTCATAGAGCTTATTCCTATTCTCGTGTGTTCTCAATTTGAAACGCTCAATGTTACAAGAATGGCTGCTGCTCCGCTATGACTACTGCTGCCACCACTGCAAGCTCCACCGCCACCATGCGCACTGCTGCTGCTACCACTGCTGTCACTGCGACTACGCCTCTGTGCGGCTACGTTGCGTGGTGCTTGGTTCATATGGAGTGTTCGTGATGAGAGCCCTCCAAGCCAGACCGAAACTTTTCCTAGAACCTACAAACCTGCAGCAATCACAAAGAGCGATGAGGGCCGTGCTGCTGATTGAACAAACAGGGGGCCACGAAATACTCAGGGAAAGTTCGAGCAACGACCACAGCGATCAAATAACGACCGTCATCATCATTGCGAATGTCACGGCACTGTTGATACCGAGTCAAAAATCATGACATCCGATGTCGTCATGGTTTCACGAAAGAGCATCCGCAACGACAGCACGAGTGACTATCATCATCAGGATCACCATTACCATTCATCCCGAAACCCCCTGTCCTACACACCTTGATGCAGAATTTCATGAAGCTCCGGTAGAAATGCTGAAATTCCAGAACAACGCGGATGCTGCGCTCCCTCTGCGTCGGGCCTGGCTTGTCCTCATCCTGGTAAGTATCACTGCCCGCTGCGGGCTGTGAGGTCGCCATGCTTTCCGGAAGTTTCGAGGCCGGTCCGGGCCAGATTTGAGCCAGCAAGCTTCAGCAGCAAGGGCTCAAGGAAGATCTACTGACACATGTATCAGGCCTTCACTGCTGTTTGGATACATGCATAGACAGTTAGCTTGATGGATCTCTTCACTCTCGCGCAATCGAAGCTCGGGCAAAGACCATGGACAGACACACGGATATGAACAGAAGCATCGTCCATGGCATATATTGCCTATACATCTTGGGAGCAAACACACACACACACACACACACCTGCACATTAACACGTTAACACATACATGCATACATACATCCATAAATAAGTACATACATATGCATGCGTGTATGGATACGTAAGTACACATACATACATACATACATACATGCATACATACATACATACATACATACATACATACATCAATGCATGCATGCATGCATGCATGCATGCATGCATACATACATACATTCATACATACATA